ACCTTAAATACAGTGATGGAACACCCGCCCCCCAAAAAAAAAAAAATATAATGTTAAATAAAAAAAAAAAAAAAAAAAAAGTAAACATGAGACAGCAAAGGGGATTAGCCCCTCACCTTGGCTCTGTATGAGTGAGACCCTCCCTGGAAGTTGATGACACCATAGGCATCAGTGGGTCTGGCCTCTGTGTGTTTTTCCACTGACCACTCCTCCAGCTCGGGCATAGGCACATTGGAGCTCTCACCCAACTTCACATCTGAGTACTTGGTGGCCAAGCTGGCTGTGAAGCCAGCATGTTGGCGCACCAGCCGCCCACAGCAGCACCTTTTAAAAAAAAAAAAAAAAAAGCCAAGATGAATTTTTCAAATGTTTGCCGTTTCAATTATTATTAGCCATGATACAATTTTGAAGAAATAAAAAGAATAACAGGAAACCAGTAAAACAATTACAACAAGAGTTTTCAAAAGCAGAACAATAATCTAGAGAAACAAACAGTACAAGGAACAGGAATCCATGCCACACCTGATAAATATTCCTGAAGTGTTTTTCGGAAAACACTGCACTCTTCAACTGAATATTATGTTGAACTATGAATGTGAGCCTATTATTTTTTACATTATTTTCTATAAACACACATTGCGACAATGTTGGCTCCTCAAAATAAACATTGCTGCGGTTTCAAATCATGCCAGCCAAGTATAAGTAGCCACTATAAATCAACAAGTTCAGGCTTTAGATTAGGTTTTTTTTTTTCCCCTAAGATTTCCTAACATCTGTATGTGTACGAGACAACACTGTCATGTGAGGCACACAGCTCTGGCTGAGTACAGACGCCCTGTCCACCTGCAAAGCAAACCTCCTGTTTGCAATGGGCAGACAATCAAAAGCTGCACAAAAAGGCAGAGAAGCTAAAGCGGCACATCATCATTAACAAAAACTGTTTACATGTGCATAGGATCCCTTGTTCAAAATAACATCTTCCCCCAATAGGCCAGAAGATGAGATTATTAGTCATTTATTTATATATATTTTTTAAATAAGCCCCCCCCCCCCAAAAAAATGCCAATTTAATTACAGAACGTACTCCAGCTAGATTATTAAGAATATAGGATAATTAATTTGTTTATATACAATTTATATTTTTAAAAAAAAGCTTCAGAAATAGCAGTAATGGAGAATAGTATTGGAGTGCATGCTGTGTTAGATATAGCAATTTATGTGTTAGTTTTCATTTTAACAACTTCTTAAATTAGTTGTGCTATGACTGTGCAAAACAAACCAGCGATGAATGGGAGCAGTTCAAACCCATTCCTTAAGATTATAATAACCTTTAATGTAGTACTTCTAGTGACATTTTAATCAGGAAAAAAAAACCTACTCATTAGTGAGGGTTCATTTAACCTAATCTGTTAGTTGGTGGAAACACCGTCACAGGTCCAAAAATGACCCCAGGCCATTGGACCATTGATTTTGTCAAACCCTGCATTAATAGTAATGGCATTCAGGTGTACAAAGAATTCTCAGGTACTACTCAGCCGCCTGGGACATGTACTGTATATTTAGACTTAGTCAATCAGTGCAATATTGCATGTGTTTTTTGTCATCTGTATGTTTAAGACCCTTTTGCAATAAAGTAAAGGTGCAGGTATTTGAAATGATTGTACAATTCATTGGACTATTGGACCTAGTTTTGCCTTGTTTTAGTGTTTTCTGGTTATAACTCTAGCACACAACCTTCACAATCTTTCAAAGCCTCTTAACATAGTGTGGCAGAAGCCAAGACAATGGAGACAGCTTTAAATAAATAAGAAGAGTAAAACAAATTCAGCAAAACAAATTGTCCTTTTCATTTACAAGATCGACCCCTGGAAGTACTAAGTCTGGCTCTGTCTACCTGTGACATAAAAAGAGAAGTAGGTACCCGTATTTCCTCTTTTGCAGCAATATGGGATATTGCTTATATGGGGGTATAGTGCAAATGTACTCGATATCATTACATAATCTTAAAATAAATATAAAATAAAACACATTCACTGAAATCCAGTTCTCATAACGGCTCTTTAAGCTGCTACTTAAAGAGGGTACAACATATTGGCCCCATTGCCGAAGTTTGCTACCTGGATGAGAATCTGGTTTTGTTTTTCAAAGCCATACCCTTACACATGTCATTCTTTATACTTTGTAATAACAACTTCATGACACTGATGTACTCCATTCTTTTTACAGCTGAAATCTTGATTATAATTTCTGTGTTATAATTCTAGCTCCACCAAAATCAATCAACTTGGGTTGATATTCTGTCTTTCTCCATTAAAATGAAACTTCCAAAAAAAATAGGGGTCTCATTTCTTTGTAAGTGAGCAAACTTACTTAGCAGGGTATTAAATGTATTAATTACAATTAATTAATTGTAATTAGTAAATTAAAATTAATGAGCTGTATTTCATTCTCACAAAGCAGCTCTATAAGTAACAAGACAAGTCAAAGTCATGCCCAGCTGACACAAAGTTATTGTTACTATCATTCATCATTTATTCATTACTATCAAGACTTGAACTTCCAGTTCATGGTCAAAGGTGTAGTAACTGGCACTTGCTTTGGGGCGCTAAGCTTAATCCATCTGGGAAACATGTGGGCAGAGTATAGCATTGCTTATGAACATCTCCTCATTCTGTCATACAAGTACAATGGCCACAGTGAACAGATCAGTCCTCCATTAAGGCAACAAGTGACACTAAAAATAAGCTTGTGTTAGATTTTGGTCTCACCCGTTTCAAAATATTACACCCTTGTCACTAAAACACCATCTAGACGAACCCTGAAATTATTAACTGATGGACTAATGTTAGGATAAATTTAAATGGCTCTCACATTTCCTTTTCCGCAGGAGAATTTCTTATGCTTCAGCTCTTAAATCGCAGTATTATTGACCCACGAGACAAAAAACAAAAAAACAAAATACATATTATTCTTATAACTTAACTATTTGAGTTATCGGAAATTATGACCATTCCACTACAAAAAAACCCACATCAGCTAATCTTATTGTGCTGATATATGCACACAGATCCTGACAGTTTCAGCTGTGTAAGGCCAGGATCATCTACTCATTATTGTGGGTATACGTTTTTGGGTTTGTTTGTTTTTTTGCATTTCCATGACTTATTGTATCTATAACATCAGTTAGCACTGCACTGTTCAGGACTTTGTGAGATAAGCAGATGCTGAGTTTATGTTGGAACGCAGTTGCCCATTTATTTAGACAGTGAGTTCAAAATAACTGCCTGGAGGGCTGCAGAGTGGCATGGCTTGGCTTCTAGAAACATTTTAATATTCTCCACAAGATGTGTGCCAAACATTGCCAGACAGGATTCACTGGCAGGGACAAAGGTGATCTAATTCACAGCCTCTTTACTTCTTTCTCCATTTCCATCATTTGTCTATCTCCCTCTCGTGTCAGCCAGACGTTGACACCGGTCTCCCTTAAAGCTTCTGCCTGGGTGTGTAACTGCAACAGTATTGTGGTACTTCAAACTCTGAGGCAGCAAGCTACTAAAACATATACACAACTGAAATACTGGACACACTTGGTAAAAGTGTGTCCAAGATATGAACCATCTACAGATCAATGATGACAGATTTTTCTAAAAACAAAAAAGCCTAATTGTTTATCATTATTGAGTCTGAGCTTTGTTTTCTGTCTTCCTCTACTAGCCTTAGGGGAGAATACGCATCCTAACACATAAAGCCTGGAATTTAATTGTTTCCTGGTAAAGGTTGTTGTTTAGTGGAATTTCAAAGGAATTGCAAAGAATTTACCTCTGGGGGTTATTCTGATGTAAAGCAGCTGGTTAGGCATGGATTCTGCCAGGCTAACCCTGTCAGATAACAGAGAATGAGTCGAACAACAAGCAAACAAATACTCACCTGACGAGCTGCTGGCAAATCTGGCATCCTGGAAGGCATCTGAAAGAAATGCCACAACAACTCAGTCAGTGCGAATATAAATAAAAACAGAATAGATAAATCTGAAGAGTATTTCCGACCATACACGACGGTTCTAAAACAAGACTAATGTGAGGGTTTGATTTCTCCAAGTCTGGAGGAAGTTCTCAGCAGAGAAAGTTCTTTAAGGACATTAAGGAAGGTTAACTGTCTCCTGGGCAGACAGCCCGGTTAAGTTGGCCTTTAACCAAGAGACAGTTATGAAACCTTCCAAAGGGACTCACTTTGATCACAGTCACATGCCACACTTTGACCTAATGTTAAATGAGCCTGTGTTCACTAACACCTCTGAATCATTTAGCAGAAGCCGCACATATAGCAGTTAACAGAGAATAACCAGTTTGCAAATAATTGATGTAAAAGAAAACACAGGAAAACGAGTCACCCATCATTATTGTGAGTTTACAAGAAGAAAGGAAGACATCCAAGGACTGTTTAACTGTAAATATAAGCTGCTGGTGGGAACATAATTTTTTTTTTTTTTTTAAATCACCTTTTCCTTTCCCGTTTCTCTGAAAGTGGATGAGTATTTATAGCAACTACTGCCCCTTTAACAGAGCTGTTTGATGTTTGTCATGCACACAGTGTGGATAAGTGGCCTTCATGACACGCCAAGCCAAGAAGACGCCTGCATATAATTTCAACACTGCATTGTAAGATTCCAGTAAGTCTGCAGAAAAATACTGTGTCAAAACACCTAGACAGACAGACAGACAGCTATATATCTCTCTATCGACACACATAAAAGATTCCTAGTCCAATTCTCACTGTGAGGATGACATTTTATTACTTTCACACCGGTATAAAGCAGATACCTGAAGCTGGGGTATAAACATCATATCAGAGCTAACAGTGCTAATATTGCTTTTTTTTTTGGGGGGGGAATCCCATCCCTAAGATTGAAAGAAGTCACGATCCACAGGTTCATCACTTGCTTAACCCCACACTTAAATCTGTAATTTTATTGACAGACATAAACATTAAAACAGACTCATTTTGCCTCTGGAGAGTAGTCGTTATGGTTTGGGCCTTCTTTAACTCACACCATGCAATTACGCCGTTTCCATGGCTATCACCAGCAGACTCACTACAGTAGGTCTAAGCACATACCTGTGGGGGTCCTTTGACACTGGAAGTATGTACACACATTCCCTCTTGGTGAAAGTGCTTTCTATCCAGGATTTCTGGGACTGTGAACAAAAAGAAAGAGTTGTGAGCAGCGGCAGCTGAGGTCTCTCATGTTTAACGGACTCAAATGCAATTCAAGAAAAGTATACATAAAAGATACGTAAAGAAAAATTTAATGAGAATAAAAGCAAAGTATGTTTTAAGTTATTTATAACAATGTTAAATAATAAACTTCAAGACATCTTAAAAGGCTAAAAGGGATGTTGCACCCCTTAATACAGGATTTAGTCTATAACAATTTAAGGGGATTAGAAGGTTTAACACAGGAGAAAAATGAAACAGTCATATAAAATCATGACAAAAAGAGCTGACGAGGAACACCAGTTAGAGGCATCTACCAAACAGTATAAACAGCCTTCTAATTCTACAACAGCATTTTTCTCGTAACAAAGGTTTATGGTGAAGGAATTTTCATTTAATGCCTCGTGCCTTATTGTTCCCCTCCAGAGCAGCTCAGAGGAACCCAAGGGCGATTAGCACTATTAATCTCTTCAGCACAAAGAGGGGAACCTGCAAACACCTTCTCCAAAACATTTCAACAATTCCTTAAAATCTGACAAAAGTAGCAGAGCAACATTTTCTCCCGGAGGTCACGTTAAACATTTCTCAATATCAGCATGTTGTTTGATATAAACTAAACAGAAGCATCTTAAATTCAGGATCCGAAGTTACATCCAACACAACAGGATTTAAATCTGCCTCCAGAAAATACTGAAAACATGTCAATAAGCATGTCATCCCACATCTTGACTAGTGACAATAAGCAACCAAGTTTGTACCTGGATGTCCTCCTCTTCATCTCTGTGTTTAAGGGCTTTGTACAGAAACATACCAGGGCTCCTTCACGCATCTCCTGGACAAACCACAACACCCACAGCCTCTCCCGAGTCCTGGGTCATCAGCAGCAACTCACTGTGCTGTTAGATCTGCACGCAACTTCCATACAGGTCTCAAAGTCTACAGCTGCACAGTTACCATACAGACCCAGCTCGAGTTAAACGCTGAGTGATCAGTGAGAGGTTGCAGCCTCCAAACTCCATCCACAGTTAATCTGTAAGAAGCCACTCAGGGGGCAGATGAATGTGTCTGAGACAAACTAGATATTATACTTAGGCTGGAGAGAAAGAAGTGAGGGAGGCAGGGGTGTGGGAGAGGATTAGTGGATGGGCAGAGACCTCAGTGATATATACCTAGTTGGCTACTGACAACACACCACCAACTGTGATTCATGCAGTACACACAAAACCTCTCCCAACAACTCAGGCACTACAATTAGTCTTTAAGAAACCTCCTTTACTTTGATACTCATTTACAGGAGAACAGCATAAAAAAATGCCAGGATTAAATAAAGGCAACTAAGTTTAAACAAAAAGGTCCCAACATGGATTAATACACCAACTTAACGAAGATCCTGAAAATTAATACGGGTACAAGGGGGTCCAAACATGTGCACCAATTATTGTTCAATTTCCACTTCTATGTCAATAAAATATAAAGTAACATTACCTTTACAAAGAGATTTATGTTTACACAAATGCCATTTATCATATTCAGCTGTTTTTTAACATATCAGAACTGTTTTTTTTTTTTTTTTTAATCAGTCCTAGCAGTTTGTGGGGATGGAGCATTCAGGTGTGTCTTAACATAATGCCAAGATGGAAAGACATCAGCAATGATCTTTTAAAAAAAAAATCAATTATTACTGTCTATCAATCTGTAAAGGATTATAACGCAATTTCCAAACAATATCAAGTCCATCATTCTAGTGGAAAAAAAATCATGACAGCTGTTAATATTCCCAGCAGTTGAAATTCACCCAAAATGAGACAATGTTCAGAGAAACAGCACAAAAAAACACAAAAACAAAAAAACAAAAACAACAACAGCAACATCTCAGACTCTACAGGCCTCGGTTAGCATGACAAATGTTAAATGTCGTGGCAGTATAATTAGAAAAAGACTGAACAAGTTATAGGGTGTTGGGCAGGGTTGCCAGTAGAAACCTTCTCTCTAAAAAGAACATGGCAACACAGCTTAGGTTTGCAAAACTGCATGTGAACAAACCGCAAGACTCCCGTAACTGTCCGCTGGACAAGACCAAAGTAGACATGTTTGGCTGTAACGCACGACAGCACATTTGGCAAAAACTAAACAAGGTATCAGCGTAAACACCTCATGCCAACTGTCAAGCATGGTGGTGGAGGGGTTAGAATTTGAGTGTTTTGCAACCACTACAAGCTGCACCTGGGTAACTTGCAGTCATTGACCGTATTAACAAAATAGTCTCGAGTCAAATATGACAGCATCTGTTTAACATCTAAAGCTTGGCCCAAATTGGGACATGCCACAGGACGATGATCAAAGCACTCTAGCAAATCTACAGCAGAACGGTATAAGAGAAAAGAATAAAGTTGTTGTGATGGTCCAGTCAAAGTGCAGACCAAAACCTAATTGAAATACTGTGGCAGGGATATTAAGAGAGTTGTACAAAAACCTCAATGAACTGAAACAATATTGAAAAGAAGAGTGGCCCAAATGTTTCCACAATGATGTAAGAGCGATAAAGAGTGATAAAGTTTTAAAGCAAAGGCTTACTTCAACTAATTGCTTCAGTTAGGGGGGGTTTTTTTGTTTATTTTTTTTTAACACTGCTTTTTCCATTTTGGCTTCCTTTTTGTCGACTAATGATGTGGTATAATACATCATGCACTGTTGTTCACCTGAGGTTGTATTTAAATCATTTTAAATCCTATTATGTGCTGATACATTAAAATCTTTGAATAGAAGGACTGTGTACTTTTTCATGACTGTATGGGACAACCACTCAAGCAGTATTTAGTTACAAAGAAACATGTTACCGTTATGCCATTACCATTTTCTGCAATTCAGTAATATTCGTTTACTAAATTTATCACATTACAGTTAAAAATCAAACTATTGTGTCACTACTTGTGCAACACTCTTCAGTTATCTGCAGAAGGGAAAAAAGGTCATCCGATATGGTTTTTCTCCTTTCACTCTAGCTCCTGCACAGGGAGAAGAAAATGATACAATGGTCTACAGCTTTTGACAGTGGCGATATGAACATTACTTTGAGTTACAATACACAAAAAGACAAAGTGCTGGTAAAATCCAAAGTGTGCAAAAGTCAGAAACTGTCCACCAATTCTAGCACAAGATCGGCTCTTGTGCTCAGTAGCAACAATAGTGGGGAAAATAGGTGATGTTTTGCTCCCGAGCAAGATAGTTACTCAACCACCATTATCAATAATAATGATAACAATAATAATGATGTTTGTTTGTGTGTAAGTGAGAGATCTTTTTTTCCAGATTTCTTTGAAATTGCCATTGAATTTAGTTTTCCAGTTTGTGTTCTTGTGTACCAATTGAAGCTTCTTCCTATTTGGAATTAAAATTTTAGTTTATTATGTATAAACACCTATGTTAAAATATAGTTGTACAATTTTACAGTACATTTCACATGTTCAACAGAAAATAAATATTTTACTGTATATGATTAAGAAAATTAAACTTATATCTTCACATGTGAGGAGTAAAAAGAGCCCTTAAAGCTTAAAGGAAATAACATATTTGATTTCTATCATGAGATACTTATATTGACTGATAAGAAAAAAAATATACGATTTTTTTCCCCATAGCCCTTCTTCGTCATCCTGCCCTACCCCTGGCAGCATGCTCAGACAGAGCTGGTTGGTTTTTTTCCCCCCTCTGTGGCTTTATTTTTAATAACTGCACAACAAAGGCAATCGAGATTACAAGTTCTACAGTTTTACAACTCTTCACACACACACACGCGCACACACCTTGGATTACCAAGTCAGAGTTGGTGTGACTTCTGACGTTTCAAACGCACCATGTGGTTTTTGTCATAATCAAGTGACACTACCTGAAATGAAGTGACGGCACAGATTTGCTGCCTAAAAAAATACAACCTGCATACTACTGAGATAAAGGTCTTAAATCAAAGAAGAATCAAAGACAAGCTGCTTAACAGACCAAAACTTTGAATTTTGACCACTGAATTCTTTTATTTATTTATTCTCAAATTTTATCCTGATTTCTGTAAGAAAACCTTTGAGGGTTTTTTTTTTGTGGGGGGGGGGGATTTATTATCTCAGTAGTGGGATTATTACCTTCACTGTTAGTATGGATACAGGTTTTAGTCAACTGTCTTCATGAAGCCTTTGCTAACCACAGAGTGTAGATCAACCCACAATTATCAAAACCACTTATTAAAGATGGTAAATAAAAAGTGGGTGCCACTTAATGGTTGGAATAATCCCCAAATTTAGACCTGCAGTTCTTAAGGTACGACCCAAACAGTTAAAAGATTTTAGAAAACAGATAAATACACATAACATCAGTAAGGCATAAAAGCTCGTGACAGAGCTGACCCCCTGATCTGTTTTCAGTCTTTTTTGCTAAGCCACCTGGCTCTGGGCTCCATCTTTATATTTAACACACAGACACACAAGAGCAGCATTAGTCATCACATCAAACACAGAAGGTAACCACAAAATCTTGGACTTCTTTTAATTAAGGTAATTCTGACTTTTTGCCAAACTACATGTACAAATCTTGCTTACTTGCATAGTCACCACCCAAAGGCCCATGCTGAGCCAGGAAAAACCATGTTTAGCACTGGTTTAGAGCATGCAATTACAGGCAGTCATGGGAGGCTAAACCACTGTATCCAATGACGTTAAATAGCAGGTTTGATATTTGGTGAGCCAATTAGAAAAATAGTATTGTTAGTGCTTGAAGCAGTCTATCCACGTGATAACACTTCAGATTTGTCATTTTAAAAAGGAAGAATATGTTGGCTATCACAACATGCTGGCCATGATAACAATGGCACTGGTCTACAAGAAAGCAGGAAAACATAGCACAACATAAAAACACCCCAGCAAAGAAGCATGAATTATGTAGTTATTTACTGCAATGGCTTTGCATCCTTCCCCCACTGTCCACCAATTTTTCA